AAAGGCTGAGAATCGAATAATTTCTATTCATTTCAAACCAAAACGATTTTTTTTAAAGTTAGGGTTAACTCAAAAAGGAAAAAACAACCGACAAATTTTCTCATAAAAATCGCTCATAAAAACTCCTTTCCCACCACAATACTTCCCTGTAGAAGATGAGTTAACTGTTGTGTCATATTTAGTCACTTCACCCACCATTGGTCAAAGAAGATCATCACCTATGACGTACAGGGAGAGATCTCGAGAAGATATCCCCCCATATAAAAGAAACTGTGAAACCACCGAGGGGGAGCAAGTTTTTCCTGAACTGTGAGTGTGCCCGTGAATCGCCTGCCTCTCGTCGCCACCGTCTTCTAAAGACTTTGATTACGACTTGAACTATAGTTACGAGCCCAGGATTCGGACTCCGAGATCGTCCTGAACCCTTCAACCTCTACAACTCGAGGTATTTATGCTACTCGCGATGATATGTAAGCTCTCTCTCGAATATTCCAACCTCGCGGTTAGGGTCGCGACAAATGAACTATACGGATTGAAATTCCCGAGGCCAGGGATCTGTACCTTCGACTCCTTAAATAATTAACTAAGTGTAAATGTACGGAATAACCGGAATAAACGGGTATTTTATTAATGAACTTGGATTGGTGTGCGTTTCTTCCGACAATTTCCACTCCATACTCAAACCGAAGTCTTCGACGAGATCGCTCGTGATAATTCCCCATCGAATTAACCGCGTATCTATCCGCGATAAATTAATAGATTGGTGTCAGACAGGAGAAAGAATCTAACGATCCTTTCTCCGAACCCGTTTTTCCCATCCTTTAGACAAGCGAGACCGGACCTCAAGGTCTTGAGTCGAGTAAGTGGTAGGAGAGGGACATCCTCGTAAACATCCTACCCCCGATTAGTCTCACATGTAGGTACTTGGGACTGAGAACAAGTCAAAATAAAATACAAAATGGTTACACTTTTTCTACAAACAGGCACCCAACAACCAACAGACAGTCAACCTCCAAAATGCTAGGTTAATAAGGCAATCATTTCTAACTGATCGTATTAGGGTTCTAGAAGTCTTGGAAATATACAAGGTTGGCCTGACTCACAAATGTATTAACTTTAAGGACAGTAAAACAGTATCGTATGCATGGCACAACTTTTACAAAAAAACTGCCCAAGGCCAACATAAATTCATTTTTATTAATTTGGTATTAAGTTATATTTAAAAAAAATTTTTTTATATATATATGGTGTACCTATATATGTATTAAATTTGAAATTTACCACTGTTTTAATTTTTTTGTTGTTATATATGCATTATGTTTTGTTCCAATTTTGTAAAAACAATATTTTAAAATTTGTTCTACGCATTCCAATTTGAAATTTCATTAATTTAATGACTTGATGCAGACCTTGGTTGAAGTAGAAAAAAGTTTTTTATTAAAAAATTTTTGTTACTGAAATTTAAAGGTTGTTTACGATGTGTCTGTTTTAATAATTTATTGTATAATTCTTCTTTTTTGTTGATACTTAATATATTAGTTTTATTATTGATGATTTGAATTGAAAAACTGAGAGCAATAATGATATGATCCTGTCTCTTAAAAAGTTTAGATATTGTACTATAAAGATGATGTATACTAATCTTTCATATTTTGCTGTTTTACTATTTTGTTTCCATCAATACTTAATCAGAACTCTATTAATCTTTCATTCTGTTTTGAGACAGTATATTTAATACTGCACTGTTAATTTAATTTCAGTATTGGAGAAAATTAGACCATTTGTATTTGACCTATTAATTTCAGATTTTATAATAGAGATGAGAGCACTAATAGTTTTTACATGTCAAATGCTTTACAAATAATTTAAAAATCTTGGTAATGTTTTTGTATATTGGACTTGTTAGATGTAACACTAGATAACAATATAAAACAAGTATAATTTGAAAGTTATTTTTTGATATGTAAACATAATAGAAATTGATTAGATTTTCTGTTTGTTAAAATACTTAAAAAATTGAAAAAATAAAATTTTGTATATTTGGAAAGTATGATAACAGTTCTAATCTCTTCCAGTAGAAGTATTTTTATTTATCAAATGTTTTCAGCTGACTGGGCTGCCATCTTAGGATTAAATAGTTAACAGAATGGAACATAGAATACAAGGTATTAATTAAAGCAATTAATACAAACAAGAATTAAAAATATAGAACAAGAACTAATAGACATAAAGGCATTACAAATTTATTTAAAAGCATTGATATTATAGTACTTTTCATGAATTCTACAATGATTTTTATGATGTTTAGATATTGTGTTACAAAATAACTCATTATTTTCATCATGTCAAATAATTATGTGAGAGGCTGAACTCGACTGGAAAATTTTATTCAAAAAAGTTTTTGAAAAAAAAAAAGATTGCTACAAATATGATTATATCCTTTCCCACGGACTTGCTTCCTTGTTTGGGGGTGACACATCAAATGTGTCATTAGGAATCAAATGAAAAAATTGCCATTGGACGTGAAGGATGATTTTACCAAAAAAGGACAAGAGTTGTGAGGGGGAGGACCCCCAAATAAAGGAGAAGGTCTGATGATGCGACAGGGAGTTTGCCCGACAGGAGTGTTCGTTTGTCCTTGATGGTTGGTTGTGTGTGTACACTCAGATACACTTTGCTGCACTCCTCCAATAGCCAAGCGATCAGAAGCTTAACCATCAATGACCCCATCCCACCAAGGACGTATCTCCACTGAAAAAAAGGACCCAAATCAAGAGAGCAATCTTCAGGTAAATACCATGCACAGACGTTTGTAAACTCTCTCTCATTTAAAGCATATGTGTAACTAGTTTATATAATCAATAAACGAGTATTATTTTCTATAATCGAATTGTAAAGTGCACTTCTTTAGCCCAATTGGTCTCCATCCTGAGTCCAACCGCCCACAGATGCAATTGCTTGCACAGAACATAATGGTCTCTATCCAGAAGATACAGTGGTGTCAGTCCTGATAAATTAGTCATTGCAGTCTTCACCGACATGATGTCAACCCTTCAGTCCTGTGGTGCTGAAGCATAGGGGGTGCTTCATGCATTGTCACAATTATATTTTTCAAAGAACTTAAGTGTTTCAATGAAATGGATGAAAGTTTTCTGAATCAAACTATTATGTTATGTCTTGTCTTGTATTAAAGTTAAAATAGTCAAAAAATGCCAATAGATATTAACAAAAACATTTTATCAGTAATTATAGTTTAAGTTATGATCAGTAAGTTTTAAATGTAAAAAATATAATTTTTTTGTATGAAAGTTTTTCTTGTAGTTATATTGTTAATTACTAAAATTAATACCAAAACACTCTAACTCCAGTAAAAATAGAACATTTATTAACAGAACAAATATTTTTGACTATACAATAGAATGTATAATAGCCATCTTCAGGTTCTAGAATGGTATTAATGAATAGAACAGGAAGCACATTTGAAAATTACAAATTTACATAATGAGTCACATAGCAGTAGCATAAAATATATTAAATGTTTTTTCATATTAATTATATCCTGGACCATACTCCTTGTGACTTTCAGTTTATGGTTGTTTGGAACCTCGCGTTTTTTTATGCAGCGCTCGAGAAGCGCTTTACAGCGAACACACTGAAACTGGTTTCTAATTGGCCAATACTGCTCGTGACGTCATTTCGCTACACTCTCGCTGCATAAAAAAACGCGGGGGAACTTCAAAATAGATAACAATGTTCAAAAAGCTGCATCATATAGATGAGAAAGCTAACAGACCTGTTTTGCTGCTTTCGATATGAAAGACCACTGTGAAAGGTTGTTTAAAATATCTTTACCAGTTTTTTTTACAAAGAAAATGTTTTGATTTAATTTAGACTGCCCTTCCATATGTTAATCATTCATTTCATTTCTTCCTACAGTTTTTAAAGTTAATATAAATAACAATCAATTTAGATTATTGTTATTTATATCATTTATATTGAATAATGAAAATATCCTATGTAATATGATTAATTTTTAGGTTGTTATAACAATTTTAATTTATTGAATTACACTTTAATGAATTGTTAAATAATAAATAAAAATAAAAATTTTTTAGGAAATATTGACTGAAAAATATGGTGAAGAAAACAAATTAATTTATGACCTTACAGATCAAGGAGATGAAAATCTTTCTCTACGATATGATTTGACTGTTCCATTTGCAAGGTTTCTTGCAATGAATAAAATATCAAATTATAAATGTTATCATGTTGGAAAAGTTTATAGACGTGATAGTCCTCATGCTGCTAAAGGACGATATCGAGAATTTTATCAATGTGTGAGTTCACATTTTTAGATTGTTCTGTGATTAGTTTTAAGATTTAAAAGATCTGATATAAAGTACATATTAGAGATAATGTATTTTATTTCAGGATTTTGATATAGCTGGTAAATATGATCCCATGTTGCCTGATGCTGAATGTATTTTAGTAATTGCTGAGATTTTAAATGAACTGGATTTTAAACACTTCATAATAAAAGTAAGATTACATACATTTTTATAATATAAATGATCTAATTATTTTCAATGTTAAATAATTATCTCAAATAAACAATTGGTGGAGATAACTGAAGCTTATCAAACTGTAATGGAACCAAGGAAATCAAGATCACAAAAAATCTATTTCCTTGACTTCATTACAATTTGATAAGCCTTATATATCTCCATCAATTGGTTATTTGAGATAATTATTTAATTTAATTTATTAGAGGCAAGAAGCTTACAACTATATTTTTACTCATAATGTGTTTGTAAAGAGCATTTAAAGTGCAGTCTTAATATCAATCTGATTTATACTAAGATTTTATTTGCATAAATTTTAGGTTAAAATGTTATCAAAAGAGAAAAAATTCAGTATATTATTTATAACATAAAATTTTTCTTAATCAAATTGAAGTTTTTGTTATGTATAAAACGGAATTTAATCTTTAAGAAGAATAGTGTAATGCCAGAATCGATGAGAGTCCAGATTAATTTGATTCTCTGTAACTTTAAATTTTCAGGACAAACTCTGCATTTATGTTTTTATTATTTCTCAAGATTTAAGAAACAATTATCTCACAAATAGAAAATATTTTTGCTGAGAGTTGTTAATTTGCTTTGTATAATTATTAAAATGAAACAAATTAAACAATGTTAATTTTTAAATATATAGGTTATTTATTTTTATTTTTCAAATTGCGATATATAATGTATTTAAATTTTCAGCTTTACTTGATGTATATAAATTAAGAAATTGAAAATCAAACAAGAATTATTTTCAGGAAATAAACAATAATCACATTTTTTAATATGGAAACTTCATTTTACTACTATTTCATTGCTCTAAAAAGGGGAGTGTCTCGACTGTCGAAGGTGTTGGCGCGATAATCTCAGGAGAAGAGTTGATACAACATATTGTGATAATGATTCACTTTTGGAGGGAAATATTACCTCAATTTAAGCGGAAGTATAACAAATATTCTTCTTAGCTGGTAATAGTATACCTATTACTTATTTCTGGTATAGAACCTAATCCAGGACCTCTGCCTAGATCTCCTCAACGTGGCGGCCACACAGATATGCAAAAGAAGGGGCGTGGGAGGCCGCGTAGTGTCATTCCTAAAGCCACAGAAAAAATAAGAATATCTGGGACTAATTCCNTGATTGCGTTTCTGTAAAGGAATTATTTAAAAATTATTTTTAAAGGTAAATCATCGTAAGATACTTGATGGTATATTAACCATTTGTGGAGTTCCTTCTGATAAATTTAAAACAGTTTGCTCATCTATTGATAAACTTGATAAGGTAAGAAAAAATTGAGTTTATTTGTTCTTAAGTAAACATATTTTTTAATTATAAAGAACAATACTAGTTGAAGTAATTGAATTAAAATTGTAAAGAAAACAAATAAATAAGAATGCAATTTTAGATCAAACATTTGTTTCTAATAGAAATTTATTTAAAACATTATTTTTTAGGCAAGATGCCAACCACTATAGATTTTCCTTACTTTCTAAAGAAGTCACATGTAAATTATAGATTCATAGCTAACTCTAAAAACTATGAAATGATCTTTTATACTCTCAAATAAGCATGCTAATATAACATTTGTAGATGCTAGTTAGTGCTTTGTCTACATAAAATCACCAATATGCTGAATCTTAAACCAATCAGCAATTTATACCAATAATATGGAATGCTTCCAGTTTTCAAGTGGCTAACTAAGGGTCTGTCTAAAAATTACTCCTGTGTGCAACAGAGTTGCACAGATATGCTAAAACCATGTCAAAAAATTACTCAAGTTTGCATCTAAAAATGAGATATGTTTTTCTGATATCATGGTCAGGCCAGTGTTGCCATTTTGTGTAAAATCTTATTTCCAAATATGGAACATACTGCCTCCAAGAATCTGTAAAACTACTCTCAAAAACTGGATTTGTTGAGACAAAAAATAATCTATTTTCATACCAGAAAATAACTTTAAAGAATATACAAATCTTATTGATCTATAAATAGACCTACATCAGTCTTGTCAAATGTTTTTATATTCATTAAAATTAGTTGCTGGTGTAAAAATAAGGTTATTTTTTGGTCTCCAAAAATCTCTGAATATGATGGAGGCCTTTTTAAAGGTATTTTCTAAATTGTTCTGAGTTTCAAAAAATCGTAAACAACTTAAATAATAACAGTAACTGCAACTATGTACTATTCAAAATATCAAACATTTTATTTGAATAATTAACATATCATTTTCTATTAAAATTTCAATACTAAAATTGTCAGTTTTGCATTTACATGCTCCTGATGTTGGTGCTGCTGACTTTTTTGTTTTTCATTATGAAGGAACAAATTTTTAGCAGATTTTGATTCTTAATTTCAATTCATACATAACATTAAAAAATAGGTTCTTTTCTTCCTTAACTTGCACTAATTTTAATAAATTTGGGAAAAAACCCTAAACCTGACAATTCTGATTATAATCTGTTCATTATTCTCTTAACCAATGGCAATAAATTAAAATTACAGCAAAGAGAAGAAGTTTTGTTTTTGGCTTTGAATTATATTAATTAACAGCAGAAGTTTTTTATAACACACAGAAATAATTGTACTTAGAAACAAACCTCTAAAAACACCTCTAAATTTAACTTATCTCCAAATTCACCTTTAGATAAGAAAAACCTCCAAAACAGCTCTAACTCTAGATCAGGTACACTGGACAAACCCAAACAAAAAGATCATGTAGTGATTATATTAGAATTATATTTTTTATATATATAAAATGCTTATATTAAAATTATTGCAATATGTCTTTTCATTACTAAAGAAAAAAAAATAGAAATAGTGGCATGAGGAATCAACAAATCATCATAAAAATTTTTTAACAAGGGGCAAAGTCCCTCTTAGTAACATACAGTAGCTTGTTTCAGATGATTATTTGAAAACATTAGAACTTATTTATAATAAAATTAAAATATGTCCCTTTTCAACTCTGTGTGTTACAACTATATAGGGAAAAAATTTTTACATACAAGTTTGCACAAAAAACATCATGATATTACAAATTTGTAAAAGAATCAAATCTAAATCACACAATTACGATATAACCTTAGCACCAGAAAAACTTCCTTGTTTGAATTACAAGTTAAACCCAAATAATAATCATAATAATATATGGGACCAAAAAAACGTAATTTACAAACTCAGTTGCAACTGCACTCCCCCAAATCCTATATAGATGAAACTGGCAGAAATCTTAAGACCCAGTTTAAAGAACATGTAACTGTGATTAAATATAATAATCGCAACTCAGCTGTTGCTGTCCATTGTAACAATGAAGGAAACCATAAAAATTGTTAAAAAAGAATCGCATACGCAAAATAAAGGAGACGGTATGAACATCTAGAAATTCTTAAAAACAAGACAGTATGATGAATAATAACATTGGCCAAAAACTACATGAAACTTGGTATCCATACTTGACCAAGAGAAGCTGGGAGGGGGGAGTGGATAATTAATGTGTTAAAGTATGGCAAGTTTTCATTATCTGTGCCTACGGTACCTAGCAGGGTGCTCATGCATCTCATTTCCACTTCCTCCATCACTTTCTAAATTTCCCTAACCCCTCAAAACAAAAAAAAAAAAAAAACACTTTTTTGACCCTCCCCTTTCTTAACCCCATTCACACCCACTATCTCTCCTCTACCTCATGACAATGCCTTTCTGTTGTATCCTGTTAACTTTCCCATTTACATCTTGTGCATCACCACATCATGTACAACTCTACTGTAAGTTAAAACAATTTACCCTTACTTTACATTTTACAATTTACACAATTTACATTTACAATTACTTAAGTTTTTTTGTATTTTACGATGCACTTTCTTCACTCCATTGTTCTACTGTTATCAAAATGTTTTCTATTGTTCTTACTGTAATCAAGGTCATGTGGTTCCCAAATTTTATAGTCTTGCCTCTGCACTGCACCATGTATACTGGAGTGTTTTTCCAACACTATGTACCATACTGTTATGTTTGCAGTAAGTCCAAACTTTTTACATAAAAGTCAAATTCCAAATATCACAAATTCACAGTTCACAAAACGTTTATAACAACAAATAAAATTTACATAAACTTATGATGTTCATAAGAACTACAAATGGCAATGTTTAAGATTTTCAAAGTAGGTTTCACACACAAAATGAATTAGAGTCCAAAAGTCAATTAATCCACCACATGTCCGTCAAAAAGGGCACCTTGCGATGTATTCCTCAGATGCAGTTAGATGTATATTGCTTCAGACGTTCATTACAGCACAGTGAGATGAATTCACCTTCTTCAGCCAGATCATTTCACCAACCAACTTGACTTAGACGAGCTTAGACAAACTTCGGTGTACATTGGTGAAGTAAGACCAACTTAGACCAACTTAGCTCTCCTGCCTCAACCTAATCTTTTTATATGGATTGAAGAAAATGCTGATAGACCAATCAGCGTTTCATAGCGCTATCGGATGTCCACCAATTGTACGATGATCGCTGGCCAATCAGCGATCATCGTACAATCTACCGTTCAAAACTACCGGTCGTTTCTTGATCTGAGTTTCTACAGTGTCAACTGTTGCACATTTGAAAAGAAAAAAGGGCAGAAAACATATGTTCAGACAATTCCATCCCGACAATAAATGTAATTTGTTTTCCCTTGTTTTGTAAAGTTTTGTAAATCATTTTCCAATTTATCATTGTTTTTTAGCTTATGCCTGTTAACCATAACCATCCATATTTTATCTAATGTCACAACTCCTGCATTTCTCATAACCCATGTAAGTTTCCTGTTGTTCTTTTACAAATTTGTAACATCATGATGTTTTTTGTGCAAACTTGTGTACATTATGCTAACTTGTATGTAAAAATTTTTTCCCTATATAATTGTAACACACAGAGTTGAAAAGGGACATAATTGTCGAAAATGCATTCTCAAAGGAATAAAAAGTTTTTCTAAAGTTTGTCCTCCTTTTACTGATGGTATAATAAGTCTAGCGAAAAAAAAAAGCCATCTTAGTGCTCGTATAATCGAACACAAGACTAGACAAGAAGCATATCACACAAAATTAAAGTAGTTTATGAATATCTTAAAATTGGAGTGATGATATCATATCAGACATATTATATCATATCATGGGGCTGGGGAAATGCTCCTCATTTATTCCCTTTCTTGCTCTCCAACCATGATATATAATCTTTTGCTATTGATGCCCGTTTTCTCAGATTGGCACCTCTGATTTAACATGAAAAAAATGCAATGCAAAAAAATTTTCAGCATTCAAATCCAAACAAAATTATAAGAAATTGAAAAGTTTGCAAAAAAGTTCCTCATTTAGTTTTTAATTTCCACTTTCAGTTTAATTTAAATTTATTTAGATTTGGGTTTTTTTAGTGTGTTTATTGAAATGCTATTTAATCTTGAGTTTTTATTAAAGTTAATAACTATACATTTTAAATTGTTGAATAATTATGAAATATTTAAAAAATGCTATATTTATTAAAACATAAGTTACATAATTTGTTTTGTTTCTAACTTCATAATGTAGATATTTACATAAATAAAGATTTTATTCAGTGTTTAATTATATATATTTTATATTTATTATACTGAAACATATTGTATATATTATTTTATAGATTTCCTGGGATGACATTAAAAAAGAATTAATTGAAGAAAAACAACTTAGTTATGAAACAGTTGATATGATTGGTAGTTATGTAAAAAGAAATGGTATATTTACAGATTTTGTTAAATATTTTTCATATAATAAATTTTAGTAACATATTCAGCAGGTAACATAAAATTCTTTATAAAATATTATTTGTTTATGAAGAATTTCTGTATAGTTTCAAGGAAAAGTTTTTTGTTCAGAATTCATAGCAATTATTTCAAAACATTCTAAAGATATCAATCTTCATGAATAGATCTAGGCTGTTGTTAAATTTTGTTAATCTTGTTTTTGTAGATTTCAGTATAATCAGTACATCTTGTTAGGTCTTGTTTGGTTGATATGTTTATTTTTGAATAGTGCATTAGTAGAAGACAAAGTAGGCACATTAACATCAGCATCAGTATTACTAGAACACACTTATAAATCACAATAGCTGTAGTGTCCTCAACCAGCTTAATAGTCAGAGGAAATAGATAGAGTTTATGACATAAAGTGTTTTTTTTTCTTTGGAAATTTAGTATATTTTTGCTGTCTGAGTTCTTTGAGAATGGTATTTCTACTTTTGAAAGATTTGAGTCCAAATACTTGTTGTGATTCTCTGTCTCTCTTTTTGGACTTGAGGAAATCTCAGTTTTTCATCTCAGGGCTTTTACAATGATCATCACATAAGCATTTACATATAGCAATATGAAAGAGTTTAAGACTTCTTTGTGAAACTTTGTTTTATTCTTTGTATTACAAATTTTTTATGACTATATTTCTTATGATATATTACAAGTCTGGATACAATCTATTAGCAACTTATAATAGGAAGAGAAGCTTCTTTTCATATATTTTCAATGTCTATAGCTGTCATTTCACTGCTATTATATTGCTTTGATTGATAGGTCTTACCCATTATTATCCACTGAAACTCATATCTGACCCACAAATAGTACTTTATCACATTACAATAAGTCAGCAACAGATTATGTGTTAACTTCTCTCTCTCTCTAAACACAAGACATGACAGTTTTTGTCTTGTTTTGGACATTTTCATCATGATCCATACCATAATGTGTTTAACAGATGGAGTTCAAATTATAGTAATGTGCAGTTACTGTCAAAACCTAGTGTCACATATGAGAGATAGCATAATATAGATATTTTGATTTTTTTATATTCATATATAGGTTCAATGATTAAGTATACAGGAATGATAAATTTAGAAAATTTTTTCTCAAACCTACTGTACAGTACAATAGTTACAAGTATACTGAAAACTCTGATTTTCTGCAAGCTTTTTTTATAGGATACACAGATAGCAATTTTAAAGGACCCTGGTGGCATTACCTCACATATAATTGGACTGCAAATGTAATCATTTATAAATGTATCTGATACGTACGATATCTGTATGTTGAGTTTGCAATAAACAGTCAATTTTATCTGGGTGTGTAAGTTTTTGTCAAAGAATGTATTTTATAGATACAGCATGAATTATTACTGTTAAATTCTTGAACAGTATCTTAAATTAGTTAAGAAACTTTTATAAATTATATTTAAATCAATATTCATATTTTAACATTCAGTATGGTTAATACTCATTTTCACTATAAAAAATTATCAAATTGTATACTTTTTCAGAAAACAGCAAATAAATACAAACAATTATTTTTTAGGTAGTCTGGAAGTATTAGAGGAATTATTAAGTGATAAGAGATTGCTAAAAATTGAAGAAGTAAAGCTAGCTTTGGATGCTATGAAGAAGTTTTTNATTGTATTTCCTTGCGTATTTTTCACACTTTTTTTGGCATTTTTTATTAATTGAAAATTGAGATGTGAAAAATATGCAAATTATTTTTGAAAGTAGATAAAACAGTAATTAATTACTAAAAAAAAAACCGATTAATTAACGGAAGTCATGATTATATAAGATAGTTTTAATATATTAAAACATACCATATTTCTGCATATATTTTTTGCACTTTTTTGCCATTTTTACTAATTGAAAATTGAGATGCAAAAAATATGCAAATTATTTTTGAAAGTAGACTAAATCAGTATTTATTCTTACAAGAAATCTTGATTAATTAACGGAAGTCATGATTATATAAGATAGTTTTAATATCTTAAAAACTTTGCATACATATTCTGAATATTTTGAACTCTCACATCAAACAGCAAGCAGTCATTTTTGATAAGTGTGTAAAGATTTTTCTTTTTCATAAATCTGCTGACCCATCTTTGACTAGCCTTAAACTTGAGGGAAGAAATATTTTATGTCTGAGCAATATTATGAGTTCATGATTGCAACCTTTCATGTGTTATAGCACACCTGTTGTTGCATATTTCTTCAACATACCATAACAGTTCTTTCTCAAATTGGGGATACTTTCCTGTCTTCATGAAATGCCCTCACATTGGACTTTGTGTTGCATAGAGCTTCTTTTTGTTTATGCCAGCAGCAAACAAGTGCCTCACTGACACCAAATTTTCATCAGCCTCTCAATTTCTGTTCTGTTTCACAAAGCAGATTACTTTAATTTTATACTGTGTGGTAAAACTTATTTTTTCTTGCCATCTCACAGTGTTGCAGTTAACTCTACTCAATATGACACTAAGGAACCTACTAAAGTGCTATAAAGCATCAAAATTAACAACTGCCCTTATTTCCCATCCTCATAATTCCCATCAGCAAATACAAAAATATTGTACTGTTAAGCCTATACAAGGGAATGAGGGTAAACAAAGCACCTATATATTGTAAAAATTCTTATAGGCTGACTCATATCCTATCTCCTACACTAAATAGTTCAGTATGAGAAGTCTTGCATTTTCCATGTGTAAAATACTCTAAATTTTGTTTCTCTAAAAAAATTTCTTGAAAATACAGTGCGAAAAAATAAAAATTAAACCTTTGTAACAAATTGTAACAAATACAGCTGAAGAAAGATAGACAACATGTCTGAAAGGCATACCATCATCATCATAACCTGTGTTTATTGACCTCTTTGTGATTACTCCGACCACATCAATAATGTGTGATAAGTCCTCCATAGAGCCAAAATTAGTGCTCGTAGTCATATAAATTAAACCTTTACTGTACAAATCTTAAATTAATGAACAAAGAATACATTTTATGATTATTCAAAAGTATTTAGAACAAATTCAGAATGGAAAGTTACATGTTTTTTCAGATTTTAAAAAATTGCAATAATTGAATTTCAGGTGTATAGTTTAATATTTATTTATTGTATAGTGTGAGTATAAAAATAAATGCTATAACTACAATAAATGTTAAATAAAAATTAAAAACAAATGAATTGTGTTAAAAAGTGAAGTAATATTTATATTTTTAAGGTATTGAGTAGAAAATAATGCAATATGTATTAATGTTTAGTTTGTCTATAGGTGATATTAACCATTTTCAATGATTGTCTTGAGGAAATTAGTAAGTTGAATATAGAATATTATTTATGGAGAACTCTAGAAAAAGATGATCTGCTAGAATATTCTAATTTGTACTATTTACAGTGAATCTTGTGAATTTCTAATTTAAAGATAAAGCTTAGGTAATACAAAAAGAATTTGCTTTTGAATGAATATTAATTTATTAACATTGATGCAATTTGGAATTGTTAGAGAAGCCAAAAAATCATGATACAAGTTCAGATTTAACACTTTAATACTATTTATAATCTACAAAAAGACAAAAGTTTTTAAGATATTTATGCATACTTTAAAGAAAATAGAAATTTTAATATTATATTTCAAATTTCATTCCTTGACCCCAGAAATTGGTTAAATTTAATCATAAAATTAAAAACTTTTATTCATGGGAAAAATGAATTTGCTAGTCATAATAATAATTATTGTTAAAATTAAAATTAATAAATTAAAAATAATTCAGGCTGATTATCCACATTACCTACATGATTAATTAATGGTACAATGTTTTAAAATTTGTTTTATTGGTCAAATGTATAATATTTTTTCAATGTATTTAAATTATTTGAAATTTTGTATAATTTTAAATATTTAATAAATTATGTAAATATATACAATATTTTAATATTTTCTTAGATATCATTTGATCTTAGTTTAGCAAGAGGTCTAGATTACTATACAGGAATTATATGTGAAGCTATACTTACAGGTATTAGTGACTAAATTTGTTTTCTTTATTTTTACTGAATTATTTTTTATATTTTAGAAATAAATTATAGATGTAAATGTTTATATAATCATTATTTTAAATAATTTATTTATATTTTTCAAATTAATTTGTCTTTTTCAAATATTCAAATATTTATGTAAATTAATAAATATAAAACAGAAAATTAATCAGATTTTTGTTTAATCATTAAATTTTTACAATATCAATCATATTATAAAAATTATATTATTTTTGTGTTATTATAAACTTTATATTATTTTAAATTTATTCATTCTTGATTTCTGTGTTCTTGTAAAAATCAAGTTTTTATGGAATAAATACATGTCTGTAAATAATATTTTAATTACTTCACTAGCTGTTATCCGCGACTTCGCCCGCAAGGATTTTGCAAGCAAACCCCATTTATATTCGGTATTTCAACAACCATAGTAATTGTTATATAATACCTACTGCTGAGAATGATGAGAATTGCCAAGAATCAAACAAACTATTTTCAATTTGATCAATTTTCTGGAATGATTACAATCATTCTATAGTCGAACTAATATGCAATAACAAATTCAAATTTAAAACGGTTCGAACATTTTTAAAATTGAAATAGATAAAAATATTTATAACAATGTCTGAAATGTTATTAATTTAATACATCTAAGTACTCGATGAAGACTAAATCCTCTCCCTCTCCCCCCGAGGGGGAATTTCTAAAAATCCCTTCTTAGTGTGCATTCTCATGGCATACCCTACTACAATGCAGATAAAAACAAAAAAATCACATCTAAAATAGTACAGTAGAAGCTGTTCTTCCGGTTAAGCCTTAATGCTCTCCCTCTCCCCCCGCGGGGGAATTTCGAAAAATCCCTTCTTAGTGTGTATTTTCATGATGTACCCTAACTGTGTACCAAATTTCACCTCTAGGTTCAGCAGTTTGCTCTGGGTGATGATGAATCAGTGAATGAGTCATTCAGTCAGTCAGAACAAGCAATTTTATATATATAGATTAAATGATAGAAGAATGTAATTTTTTCATGTTTCATTTTTCTTCTTAACAGATGTTTTCTAATCTTCTTAAGAAAAATAATAAAATATATTTGATTAAGTCTTATTTACAAATATTTAAAATATGTGCCATTATAAATATTATAAATTATATTTTATAGAAATTTAGCTTTATAAAATTAATTTATTAATTTATGTTTAGAACAAAATTATATTAATGAAGATGAAACTACAGTGGGAAGTGTTGCTGGAGGAGGACGATATGATAATTTGATAACTATGCTGGATTCAAACAAGAACAATGTTCCTTGTGTGGGCGTTAGCATTGGTTTAGAGCGATTATTTTCAATAATGGATGTTAAAGAACAAGTAAATACAAATTTATAAATTTTATACTAATACTGTATTTACTCATTTATAAGACAATCTCACATATAAGACGAGGTGTGACTTTAAAGATTTAAATAAAAAAATTAGATTTATTAATACAATTCTAATTTTATTTCATTTAATATATCAAATGTATGTAAATGCACACATTTTCCCACAAAAATTACTGGCATTTTAAACTTTAAAATCACTCTTTGTCAATTACACTTATAAGTTTCTCTGAATTCTGATTTCACAGACGATTATTTGGAATGGATTAAAACATATCGGGCTCCTATGTGATTTTGGTATTTTAAATTGGAATTCAATTCAGAAGCTTTGCTTTTTTTATTGCTATTCATCTTTACTCCTGACAATACACAAGAATGATTCAAACGACCCAGATAAAATACTTTTGTTTTTAAACATTGGAGCGTGAGCATCCAGTAAAAGATGAGAATACACGGTTCACAAAAATTATTGCAAAAACGCAAAGAATCCTTTACTTGCACATATAGGACAACCTAGGTTTTTGAAGCAGTGAAAAATGAAAAAAAACCTTGTCTTATATGCAAGTAAATACAGTATATTATTTATATATAATTATTATCTATAGAATATCAATTTAGTTAAGTGGTTTCCAGAATTGTTTGTTAAAACAACAAAAACAACATGCTTTGAATAGTGCAGAATTAAGCTAATTTTGGTAAAAACCAGAATTAGCTTAATTCTGCACTGTTCAAAAAAATTGAAAACTTTTTTGTGTGAGTACACGTGTACAACAAAAGTATCTTGGAGCCTAGTACTGAATTGCAGGTCTGGGAACACTGAATGCTGTAACTTTATATGCTATATCAAGAATACTCAGGTATTTTCTACAAAGTAAATTAATAAATATTTAAATATTGTAAAATTAATAATAAACACAGTTCACATATTTTTCACACAAACACATTTTATTAAAAACTTGATTGAATGATTGATTAATGAATACTTAACAAAAACAGAAATTAACATTTATGACTATGATTAGGCTAATGAGAAAACAGTACAACACTTTTTTTATATTTTTAAACAATATACTATTAGTATTTCATATGAATTATTAAGTTTTATGAATATTGAACAAAACAATAAAATTGTAGAGAAAAGTAGAAGTCATAAAAATGAAATGTAATTAAAACATTACTTTTAAATGTTTTATTTACAGCATATACATGGAAATTTAAGTTTAACTTTTATAATCAAGATAGAAAATACAATATTACCAAAAAATAATATTTAAAATTGGTAAATAAAAAACATATATAAAGTTGTAACTGGTTTTAAATGCGTAATTCAGCATCTTACCCATACACTTATTAGTTTAATCATCATCACTAACTTGGTAGCATTTTGGGTTAAGCCTGTTTTTTAATTTGGATTTGAAGCAGGCCAAAAGACAAAAAAAAAAAAAGCTGTTCAATTCTGACCGATAAAGCTACAGCTGAGTAACAAGGGCTATGGTTTCTGGATTCAAATCTCATAAGGGAAGTCTCCAGTTCAGAGGATTGATGGGACTGTCACCAGAGAAATTTTCCAGGATGAAATTTCTGCATGTGGTTTCTCATCCATTACACAAAAGAAACTAATTCTGCTTTGTAGTTTGCCACATAACCCACAAAGTTTTTTTTTTTGTGGGTAATGTAGTTAGTAAAATGTTCCCTAATATAATCTTGTTTTTGACTTTTCATGTTTTGGATTGAGTTGGATTGAAAAATCGTAAGAAACGTTTGCAACTTTTTGTCTCAATTTAAAATTTAAAACTAAAAAGTGTTCAGGTTTTCCTTCATTCAGGTTTTCCTTCCTATCATGAATATTTTGACTTTGAAAATGGAGATATGTTTTTTGCTTTTTTTCTTTTCTGACTACTGGCTAGTTTATAAGTGAGAAATTTTTAAAATTTATTTTTCCATGACTTTTTGATGCCAGGGTGATACTATGTTGATAGTATCTTTATTGAAGTAATTATTTTCCAATTTTGTAAAAGTCGTAATTAGATATTAAAAAACAAATCAAACTTTAAAATGTTGTTTTAAACAGTTTAAAACACTATTTAAAACCAAAGATAAAAGCAATGCCTTTTTAAAACAAAAAAATGTTTTAAGTAAAAAATAATAAAAATACATGGCTGGCGTTATTTACATTTAATAAATACATAAAAATATAAATATGACTGCCAATGGTGTGAACGGTGAAAAGAATGACAAAGGCAAGGTTTTACCTTTGTAAAAGTCGTATTTATATTTTTATATATTTATTAAATGTAAATAATGTCAACAATGTATTTCTATTATTTTTTAATTAAAATGTGATATTGTGACAGTGACAAGAACACCAGAGGACGCTTTACCTGATTTTACATTTTTTTTGCAGAGGCAGTAGCCTCAAAGGGAAGGTTGTCTACATAACTTTGTGAATTGTTTAAGGACTGCTGATGGTGTGAATGGTGTAAAGAATGACAAAAGCAAGGTTTTACCTTTGTAAAAGTTGTATTTATATTTTTATGCATTTATAAAAAAAAAAAGTTGTTTTTGATTTAAAAAACTACTTTTTACAATCTTAGAGATTTTTTTTATTCTTAATAAGAAATTTAATGTAATTTTAAAAAAGGAAAACTAATAGTGAGTGATATATCCAGATTTTATCAATGATTTATTTTAAAAATATAAAATAATGTTGTAGTTCTTATTTTGATTACATTCAGTGAAACACAAATAAATAAAAATAAAAACTTTCAAAGACATGAATACTTTTTTATATTTGTATTCGTGTCTTATGAATATGAATATAAAAATGTTTTCATCATCAAATAGATTGCATTAAAATAAAATTACAAAAGTACATGTTATTTGACAACAATGCTATTTCTGAATTTAAATCACAAACTTTGTACATTGATTAATCATTACAAATGTATGTTGTATTATAAAAAATTTAATTTAGTTTATAGTAATTACTATAGTTGAATTTTTAACACTGACAGGCTAAAAGGCCATTTAAATAATAGAGAAGATCACCAAATAAAGGTCTTCAATGCAAAATAATGCGTGATATTTATTCTACATAAAACACTTAAGAAAAAGTTACATAATGGAATCAGTAAAAATATACTATTCTGTTTTCAGTTTTTAGATTTTAATTCATTGTCAGATGTAGTATTTTTGTAAAAATGTCTTGTTATTCAATTGTTTTGAAATCTGGAGTATCTTTATTCAGTCATCATTGTTAATATTATTTTTGAACATTGATATTGCCTATGGATTAGCCAATCTTTGTTTCTTTTTTTAAATATATTTTTCATAAAATTAATCTTCCTTCAACAAGAAAAAATATCATTGAATTGTAATTTTTGGATCTTGGAAAAAATTAATAATAGTTTGGAAACTTCTTAACATTCAGTGAATTTTCAAATCATAAGCTGGTACAATATTTAAAAGATTGTGTTTTAAACACAACACAAAAGATTGTGTTTTAAATATTATAAAAAAAATTTTATTTTATTTTATTTTTTAATTTTTAAAATCTTATATTTTGATATTTTATTATTTCACTTACAGTCAAACCTCAGTTTTTGAACTTAATTCATTCTTAAAAGTTGTTTGAAAACTGATTTGTTCTAATAAAACTGAAACAAATTTTCCTATAAAAAAAATTATAAAATGGANAAAAATAAAAACTTTCAAAGACATGAATACTTTTTTATATTTGTATTCGTGTCTTATGAATATGAATATAAAAAAGTTTTCATCATCAAATAGATTGCATTAAAATAAAATTACAAAAGTACATGTTATTTGACAACAATGCTATTTCTGAATTTAAATCACAAACTTTGTACATTGATTAATCATTACAAATGTATGTTGTATTATAAAAAATTTAATTTAGTTTATAGTAATTACTATAGTTGAATTTTTAACACTGACAGGCTAAAAGGCCATTTAAATAATAGAGAAGATCACCAAATAAAGGTCTTCAATGCAAAATAATGCGTGATATTTATTCTACATAAAACACTTAAGAAAAAGTTACATAATGGAATCAGTAAAAATATACTATTCTGTTTTCAGTTTTTAGATTTTAATTCATTGTCAGATGTAGTATTTTTGTAAAAATGTCTTGTTATTCAATTGTTTTGAAATCTGGAGTATCTTTATTCAGTCATCATTGTTAATATTATTTTTGAACATTGATATTGCCTATGGATTAGCCAATCTTTGTTTCTTTTTTTAAATATATTTTTCATAAAATTAATCTTCCTTCAACAAGAAAAAATATCATTGAATTGTAATTTTTGGATCTTGGAAAAAATTAATAATAGTTTGGAAACTTCTTAACATTCAGTGAATTTTCAAATCATAAGCTGGTACAATATTTAAAAGATTGTGTTTTAAACACAACACAAAAGATTGTGTTTTAAATATTATAAAAAAAATTTTATTTTATTTTATTTTTTAATTTTTAAAATCTTATATTTTGATATTTTATTATTTCACTTACAGTCAAACCTCAGTTTTTGAACTTAATTCATTCTTAAAAGTTGTTTGAAAACTGATTTGTTCTAATAAAACTGAAACAAATTTTCCTATAAAAAAAATTATAAAATGGATTAATCCATTCCTGACCCCAAAGCATTTCTTAACTTTATAGCTGTATTTCTTGTATAAAAATGTCTACAAATGCAATATAATATTATATACAATAATGTTATCTATATCTGTATCCATTATATATATATATTAAAAACAAAATGTTCCATCAATGCCAACTGAAACTAATACTTTACAAAGAAGTGCTATAAATAGAGACTCAACTTTGACTTTCTAGATGAAATATAACAAATCAGTCAAGACAGGCTACAAGTATTTATCCATACTTTCTGAAATATTATGTTTCAATTGATTTGATTTCAATTTTAATTTTAATTAATCAATTAATTAATTTTGATTTTATTTTTAATTTTAGCTTTAGTTTCATTTTCAGTATAAAGGACAGAGTTTTAATTAACTGGCTACCTAGTATTGTTAAATATTAATATTATAATATGTAATATTTTATTAATAAGTTTTTATTATTTAATTTGAGTTAAATGTCTTTAAACATGAATTCTTGGATGTCATTTATATTACATGAATGCAATTAACATAGTTTTCATTAATTAATTTGATTTAAATTCATTCACAATGCATACCAAAAAACGAAAGTACTATCTTACCAGATGTTCATTGAAATTTTATTTGAATAACAATGTCATTGATGGTTTGCATTGTGATGTATAATGATGCTAGGCAATCTGGTGCCACTAATTTCTGAATTGATAGTCCTGTTGTTGATTGGTCATACTGTCTTTAACACAGGAATTATAGGAGATGCTCTAATCTGTGGCCAGCTCTTGCTGAGTAGCTTGTTTGGCAACTGAGTTATTGTACTGCAACTGCCAAGTATGGGGTTCAAAATTTTGTTTGTGAACTGAATTGTTCAAAAACCAAGACATTTGAAACCTGAGGTTTGACTGTATTTTGAAAAGTGAAAATGCTATAGACTTTCTAATTTTAACCAGTTTTAATTTTAGTATAATAATCAACATATTCGAAAAGCATATACATGTGCAGATGTTTATGTTGCATCTGCCCAAAAAAATATGCTTCAAGAAAGAATGAAAATTTGTAAAGAACTTTGGGATAACAATATTAAGGTAAATATTTTAAATTTTATATTTATAAAATATATATTCATTTTGTTTGAATTAAATTCTTATAATATATTTTTAGAATATCTTTTCTATTAGGAAAAAAATATATATTAGGTACTCATTTTAACATTTATCCTGGCACAAAAGAGATCTATCCAGTTTTTCCACTGGAATGTGCATTGGTGCATTAGTTCTACTGTAGAGGTTGCAAATTTACTTTTTTGTTACCAATAAAATGATAAATCTTTAAAGCATTACCCAGTTTACTGGTAAACTGCCAGTAATTTTAAAATTTTGACTCCAAATGCAAAAATTAGTGCACTAGTGATTGTATAATTGCTAGCTTGTCAATGAGTTGCCATCTAAACAATCTTTAATGCTCTGTGACCAATTGAATTTTTTTTTCCTATTTTGAAAACCAAAAGTTTTGTTGCCTGAAAAATTGAGCATGTTAAAATTTTTTATATGGCTTTCAGAAAACTACTACATAAGTTTTATTGATGAATATACTAGTAAAAAAAGAAGTGGATAGAAAAAGAAAAACTATAATTTTTTAGTTGTCATGATTAAAATGTAGCCAATGTTAGCACTCTCATTCAAATCAATATATTCTTATATAGTGTATACTATCACTAATATACTGTAAGTGTGAAACACTTACAGTATATTAGTGATTTTATTTGACAAAATAGAATATATTGATCTGAATGTGAGTGCTAACATTGGCTACATTTTTAAGAAACAAATTGCCAAACTATCCAGCATAGTGATGTAGTATGATACTTTAAAAATTGTAAAAAACTGTAAAATAATTTAAAAGATAAATAAATAAATAAAACCTACTTACTCGAGCCTCTAACCAGTGTGTGGAAATACACAAAGTAAACAACTTTGTAAAAACAAACATTTTCCGAACACCTTCCATGTCCTTCTTCAGGTAAAACTGGATTCCTTCTAGAAGGAAGGGAATGGCTGGATTCCTTCTAGAAGGAATCCAGCCGTTTTACTTTGTGTATTTCCACACACCAGTTAGAGGCTCAAGTAAGTAGGTTTTATTTATTTATTATACACACCCCGGTGTGCATGAAGAAGTTATAAAAGATAAATGACATAAACTAATTTTATGATTTAAATTAAAACTTTGATTGCTTCTATATTTTTGATGTATAAAAATATAAATATATATGAGTGTATACAAATAAATATTTGACTTTAAAAAATTATTACTTGTCTATCTACTTTTTTACCAAATTTATCAATAAAAAAAATATGAAATTATCAGTATATTTATTGATGCATTTTTTTACCTGATTACTAATAATTTAATCCTTATTCCATGGCATGTTTACAGTAAAATAAATTAATTCATTCAAAACAGGGATATGAAAATTGTAATTCTAAGGCAATATGTAAATTTTCCACTTCTCCTGAGTGCAAAAATAATGGAATGAAGTCATTTTAAGAAGATTTAACTTAATGTACAAAGAATCTCTGAATGTAAAGATAAAAACCAATATTGCATAAAAAGTTAGCTTTTATTTTGCTGTAGTGCAAGTTCAAAATGATTGAGTTCAGCAGAAATATAAAGGTATAGAAAAACCAATAGTACTTCACATCAAAGAGGTTTGTTGAAAGAAAACTCTGATTCTGATGATAAATTGAGATATTTTAAAACAACAACTTTAAAAAATTACAAAAAAAATACAAGAACTTATAACAGAAATCAATTCTATCATCCTCAGGCATCCATATTGCAACATTAAATGACTTTCTTCCAAAGGTTGAGCAGTTGAGTTTGAACAGAATTACATTCAAATTTAAATGGAATAGAAGATTTAAATGCAAAATTCAAAATGTGCTGTAGTTGTGTTCAAACGAAAAATATATTTTTATTCAATAAAGATATAGACTTGCTAAGACTTGTAGGCATCATCTGCCCACAAGTCTTTTGTATTTGCCTCTTTCGCTTGTCTACATGACTTCTCTCTGCTGAGCATATACCATACACTGATGCTTTTAGGTGACCTGAAAGGAAAAATCAGTAGAGTCAAGTTTGAGGAATAGGGCCACCATCAGTTGTCAAATCTCTGTGAGCTACTGATGCATGTCTACCTGAAAATGTGCTGCTATACTATTGTGCTGTACCAAATATGCTGCAGTTGCTCCAATATCAAGCTTTTAGCCATTCATCTTCTGTCTTGTGATGTATATTAAGATAGCAGTTACCAGTCAAGATGCTATGAATGAATATGGGACCAAGAAGCTGCTTGCCTCATATGTCATACCAGATATTTAGCATAAAACACACCTGGTGTCATGTATTTCATATATCAACAATCACACTGTGCCCAGTAGTGCACATTATGATAATTACACGTGCTATTTCAGGAAAAAGTGCCTTGTCAGTCTTTACAATGTGCTTAAACAGTTGTTCAGTCTGGCATAAATTTAGCATTACTTCAGGCTAATCATTGTGCATCATCCTCTGAATATTGCATCAGTTGCAGATAGCAGTTGAATTGGTAAATGTCATGGCAACATTAGTCAATATATTTAAGTATATTTTGTGTATATAGACACAAATATACTTAAATATATTAACTACTATTCAGTCTACTTTATCTTACTGCTTCATATGTGGAATTACATACTTTGATGTCACAATCTGGACTCATGCATGAATCCTGACTGTACATCAAGCAACATATTGCATTCAGAATTGTCATATGTAGATCCCAGATTTATATTTTAAAAAAAGATTTATTTTGCTTATATTTTTCACAAAAACTCAGTATATTTGCATTTTGCATGCTTGTAGTAGTTTAATATTAGATTTTATAAAATATAAACACAAATAGTTGCTTACTCCTAAAATATAAAAATTTGAAAATATTTTTCAATTTTTACATGTATTGGCAGCATTATATAGCAATTTACAGCTGTGCATTGTTGCCACTACTATTACTTTATTAAAATTATTTCATCACTGATTGAAAACTTCATGCAAACATGAAGATAATAGAATGTAAAGAGCACTGGTGGGCATAATATTTTCTTTAGTCTGAGATCTACTACAAGAAAAGTTTCATTACTTTATATTATTTAAGCAATATAAGTTATATATAACCTTAATGAAGATGCAGGTTGTGACATTTTTGTCAAAAAATTATTCTTGAAGCAATTAATAATAAATTATTTAATATATATGAAATGAAGTTTCCTCTTCAACTTCTGTCACTTCAAGCTGATTAGCTGAGTAAGCATAATTTGAAATGTTTCTATGCAGGTTTATGGAAATCCACCTCTATACTCATGTTACTTCTGTATGTACAATTTATTTACACAGAATATACAACACTTAGTACATCATGACATGTAACATATAATACACTAATGCTCTGGGATGATCTAGAACAATTCAAGATGATTTTCAGGAATTGGATATCTCCTTAAGAATCTCTACACTATGGATTCCACCTCACTTCTACTTGAGCATCTTTCTCAGAAGAGTATAATCTCTCTCTCTCTTTCTCTCATCAGTGGGCTTGCCAAGTATCTGAGATCCTAGTGCTATCAGCTCTGAGCTTTACCTTCCACTTTTGTTATCTCCAACCTTCCCTTAATTTAAATGTTTTTGGGAGGAAACTTCTTATCAGTCAGAAAGCTTTTGGTCACTAGGAGAAGCTTCTTTTTATATTTTCCTGAATTGAATGTAGGTGGTCATCCTTCCACTTGTTTATTTGTTTGATGTTTTTCTACAGCTGGAAGTAGTTTATGACAAGACTGCATTCAAGTCAAATTTAACAAAACCACAAGTCTTCCTTGTCTTCCTCTGCACTCCTGAAATTATACTTTATGCATAGAAACTTCATTTACTATTTCACTTGTTGCAATCTCCAGACTCAAAACTAAAGGATTAGAACTGGTTGATACAATGAAGATTAATGACAAAAGTTTTTGTCCATTTATCAGATACCCATGGAGAATTTGCTGCAGTTGTGCTCAAGAAATTAGAAGCAATTATAGAAAAGAATCCAGGATTCAAAATATTTCAAAAGCTAGCCAATGTTTTCCAAGAAATAAATAATCCTAAGCACTCCATTTCTTTTCTCCCAAGCCCGTCAACAAAAAACACATTTAAAGTTTTCCCCAGCAACTTCAACAGACATTGAAAGAACTTTTTCAATGCTGAAGTCTGTTCTCAGCAAAAACAGTAGAAACAGAGAAATTCAAGCTCATCAAAACCTGGAAATTATTATTAGTAACTGATCCAAAGTCTTTGTCATACTTATCATAAATTTATTGTAAAATAATAAATGAATGAGTGTTACTATTATTGTATTAATTTTTTTTTACTATCATTGTAATAAGTTCTTTATGTTTTCTAACAGCTAGGAGAATATTTAAAAAATATTTTTCCAGTGTTTAGAAAATAAAAAATAAATAAATATTTCCAACTTTTATAAAATATAAATCTGGGTCTTAGTCATATGTATAGGTTTTGATGTAGCCAGGAAGTACAGTACTTGTGGAATCTACATAAATCTTTAATTAACCTTTCCTCAGACACAATCCATGTTTTAAAATGAGCAGGCAGGTTGTGCCTGGAACAGACAGTTTTTGCTTTCAGATTAAATAATATTTACCATTGTTTTTCTTTATTATCATACATTATAATTATTTATTTGAAACAAAATAATATGTACACAAAAAACAATACAGGGAAAAAAACAGAAGGAAAATACGGGAAAAAATACAATATAATATATCACTATTTTGTACACTATTCGAATTGTCATTTCAAACATATTCAGATTCACTTTCATGATCACTTTCTAAAATTTTTTTCTGCACTTAGGTTGCCTTCATTTTCATCTTTTATAGTAGTTTTGGTATTTTGCTTCTCCTCTTCTGAAAGATCTTGAAGAATGCAAGGCATGTCTTCTAGTCTGATGAACCTATAAAAATATCATATTTGCAATTAAAAGCATAAAAGTTGTACAAGTCAGTTGCAAAAATGATCCAATTTATTCCTGTTAGTAAAAAATTTAAAATAAAAAACAAACAATGTAATAGTTGTAACTTATAATTTATCAATTATTTATAATATAAAATGTTTGATTTGATTCAAAAATAAATATTATTTTTAAATCTTAATGTTTACTAACAAAAAATGGTAAAAATTAAAGAAAAAATTGAAATGAAAACTAAAGGATTACTTACATCTTTTCCACACATCCACTATAACACAAGCGGGTACAATACATAATGAGGATGGGTTATACTTATTTCTTCTGTAAAAGCAACTGTTTTCTGAATCCAAAATACTCCTTATTCCTGTATTGTTTAGTGCACTCGTTCCTTTGAAACTACACCTACTCTTCAGGCTGATCACTTGCACTTGGAATCAGTGGTGTATGTAAGAAAAAAAATACTGTTCTGAGGATGGGGTCGTGCCTGATGAAAGGTTAATCTCTATATGAACTTTTTGTGTTAAAGTAACAAGCTACTTTACACACTAATCTGAGAAAATTGGTTATCTTCTAATATTCAATTTCTTTCAAGCTTCTTTCATTTCTTTTCATCTTCAGGGTCTTTGTCATAACTGCAACATTTGGTTTTGAATAAATATCAAAAGAATTCAATGATGTATGCATTTTCAAAAGTTTTTGTTCTATTATTTGTTTTTATTATTATTCCCACTGTCTGTCTGTCGTTTGTTAATCTCAAGAACAAAGATGAAAATTGAGAGCATACATGGAAAGCTTAAGAGCCAGAGACCCTGATTAACTATATATGAACTTCTGGTCTGGACTAGAAGTCATTGTGATTTGAATTCAAAAGTTTCTTGAGAATGGAGTTAGATACATGAAAATTGAGAACAGATATGGAAAGCTTATACTGTGTATTAAAATGTGATTTGTCACAATGCTGGGCTGAAATTTTTAATATCACAATAAGTAATTGCTCCTTTGTTCTATTTTTCATTTTTTTAAAAAGCATTCTAAACTTTTATATAGACAGATTATACAAAGCACCCTCCCTTAGTAGTTTTCTTTTAATTAAATTATTTCTTTTCTTTCATTTTCTCTCTTGGTTACCTATTTAGTTTAGTATTAACTAGCTGTTGGTAATACATCTCCATGTTTCAAAAGTGATGTTAATCACTTTTGAATCCCTACCATTCTCCCAAATCCATGTCTTTTCTACTGTTCTGATATTTTCCCCATCCCTTACTTCTTCCAATAAGTTCACATTTTTCAAACAATTTTTTTGCTGACATTGCCACAGTGCTATACCAGTTAGCAAATTGCTTGATATTAGCTCTTTAATAAGAACCTCAAAAATGTATGCTACTACATGATTTGTCAGGATAAGATTTTAATTTCTATCTTGTTTTCAGATTTGGAAAACATGCATATTGCTGTGAAGTACAATGAATGAATTAATTTTAATTTATTATACTGTAACTAATGCACCATATGCATATACTCATGCTATGCTAGAAAAATCTCTTTTGCACTACATAAATGTTAAAGTGAACATCCTATAAATAATTCAAGCGAATGAAATTCTTTCATTTTAATAAAATTAATTTATATCTAGTATTTTTTACTTTGTTAAATTGAAATTATTGATTGTATTCAATTCATTTATAATTACTGAAATATAAAATTTTAACAATTTTATATTTTAGTAATTGAAATATAAAATTTTAACAATTTTATATTTCAATTATTTACTTTCCTTTTGTTATTTAGACAGAACAATCTTATAAAGAAAATCCAAAATTTATACATCAAGTTCAGTATTNATATTTTTTATTTCATAAAGCAGATGTAACAATTATTTACAAACTGTATAATTATTTTTCTAATTATGTGAAGATACTTATGTAATTTCCTATTTTCTGCTTTTTTGTGTATCTTAATTGTGTAGAGACTTTTACAATTTATTATTAAATTATTATTATTAAACGTTCCAAGAATTTTTTAAATGTATGACTTGACTGACTCGCAACTCTAAGAAATTTTTTTGATCTGATTACCTGAACTTGAATTTGCCAATTACTTCATTATTGCTTGAACTCAATATGAGACTAAAATTGGATTCTGAGATTTTTTTTCCTTTTTATTTTTTTGAGTGACTGACAATTGCTTTCTGTCATATTTTCATTTCTATAGCATCATGCCATTTTTCTTCTTCTTCTGCAGAGCTTTTGTTATCATCAGTGTTACCCTCAATAACTTGACATAATAGTGTAAAAAAAAAAGAGAAAAACAGAAAATATATTATCATTACCCAAATTGTCAAAAAAAAAGATTTTTTTAAAGAAATTTTGATTAAACAAATCTTTTATTTGATTTAAAGATATCTTTTGTAATTTTGAAAATGTTTGTTCTAATTGTAGAGTATGAAGTTAAATAAACTTTGTATTTTGCTTTTGTAAATTGGGAAATAATTTTAAATCATATGAGTTAATTATGTTAGAAAAGCTTCAAATACAGTTTGAATTGTATGTATTTGTTTATTCTGTTTATTAACTTACTCTGTTTGGTCTGTGTCTAGATATCTTGTAACTCAATTTTCACCCATTTTCCAGTTTCTGATCTAGTTGAAACTTTGCATTCATATGCAAAGTTTCAACTCAAATACATTTATTGGCAATTAGCAAATAATTAAAATTTATAAATAAAATCTGATAATAGTTGGTGCTACATATATCTTAATAAATTATGACTGTCCTTTAAGTCATGCAAAAGCAGTAAGCCTTTGTCCTTTTTAGTTTTAGGCCAAAGCTTTTAATCATGTGACCATGATATTTTATGCCTGAGCAGGTTGTAAAACCAGCGTAAAAGTGAGTTGAGCAGGTTGCAAAACCAGCGTAAAAGTGAGTTCAACTTTTGACGCAAATATGGCCGTAAAACAGTACCATCCACCAATCAGAAGTTAGTTAAATCTAGGTCATTGTGACATGGTGCAAAAATGGTGGAAAATGAGCTTTTGTGTATGTTCTCTCATGGCTACTCTAGAATAGATCTGGAAAGATTTATCAAAGACATCCGAAAGTATTCGTGTATCTACAACAAGAGGTATCTTGATTATAATAATAGATGCCTAAAACACATGATATGGATGGCCAAAGGAAAATCCTTCAATTTAGAGGAGTATATAATAAAAAAGCTAAGCTTTTATTATATACTCCTCTATATATAGTGCTGTATATTATCTTAATAATACGATAATAAAAGTTAATATATGAAAGTAAAGATATTATTTTTACTACATTTGTAATTACAGTACAGAAAAAACTTGTAGAATATAATCATTGTCTTTATATTGATATATCACATATACAACCGTCTTTCGTTTCTACCAATTCACGTGTGAAGAAGTATTTACTTTCGATACTTGGGGCAGCACCATAAAAACTTCACTAGCTGGACCAGACACAAACGCAAATAGGTCACATGATTAAAAGTTTTTACGGCAAAGGTTTTTACACTAGTGGAGTCTTGGCCTTACTGTCAAGATAAAATCTTATAATTCAGTTTTTCACTCACTTTCCAATTAAATGCTAAACCGAGAATAATTTTGATAATTCACTGTTCCACATATAAAAACTAAAAAGTAGAAAATGGAAAATAAAAATAAAAAAAATTTACAGAAATGTTGTTTTATTCTCATAAAGGCACTAAAAAGTAAAAAAAAAATTTTCAACTTTCACATTATTCTTGATATTATGCCAAAAATAAGTGCATTGGGTCCATGGACAGTCCATAAAAAATTTCTAGAAAGTTATAATTATAAGTGCTAAGAATATTTCTAAACATAAGTGATTGATGCTTTCATTTTTGGTCACATATTACCCAGAATAATGTGAAAGCTGAAAAAAATTAATGTTTTACTTTTTAGTGCATTTATATAAATCAAAAGCTTTTCTTTAAAATTTAAAAAAATATTTTTTATTTCATAAAGCAGATGTAACAATTATTTACAAACTGTATAATTATTTTTCTAATTATGTGAAGATACTTATGTAATTTCCTATTTTCTGCTTTTTTGTGTATCTTTATTGTGTAGAGACTTTTAATTTTTGTAAAGTATATATGGTCCTTGGTATATGTATTAATAATTATTTGCAAGAATTATTGTAATGCTAATTTAATATTTTTTTATATAACATACAATGCCTTTGTAGTGGATATCTGTCTTATTACTAAAAAATGATTGATGATGGATATGCATAATGCAAAAGCAATTTTTATGGAGTTTCCTTAAGTCAATTCTACTTCTGTGATACCTAAAGGTTGCTGTCTAATAAACAACACAAAATATAGATACAACATCAAACATAACAAAACAATACAACAGATACCTCATCTTGTTTGTGGATGTTATAAAACTCTACACATCCACCTATGTACAGTTAAATCATCTATTTAAATATTACACATTTTCTACTGACGTACAAATGTAGTTTACTAGAAAAATGCAAAACACTTCACATAGAAAAAGGAATCTGAAGAAGGAAGACTTTGCACTTGGAAATGAAGACATTGTTGAATCCAAGGATGAGGGCAAAGTCTATGAATATTTATGATTCAAAATTCACAGAAAACACACATATAAAAGAGCAATTAACAAAAGAATACAACAACAGATTAAACATAGTAATGAGATAAATGAATGCAATAAGCACATATTTATTTGTAGAAGCCATGTAGAAAACTGTTTTCCATGGCAAGCATTCAACAAAGTTGTCTCACCAACACTCCAAAGTGTTGTGAGACAACTTTGTTGAATGCTTGTGAGATGGAAGCACATATAAGTTTTTTTGCACATGGCCACATATGACATACCCTAATTCTTCCTTGTAAAGAGGAAAGATTTCACAGATATAATAAATCTTTACTGTAGACAAATATAGACACTTCAAGAACATTTCTACAAAATCAAAAGCATCACAAATACACAAAGTTATATCTCTCACAGACAAAAATAATACTTCATTAAATTTACACAACACTAATCTAGGTAACATAGTACATAAAAGACAGACAGTGCTGAGCTTGGAAGGAACTCTCATGATAGGTCTCTATAATGATTTCAGCCAGGGTCATGTTGACAAAGCTGAATCAAATTGCAAGCTAGCTTAGGATTCCTCTTTAAAGAGACATCTTGAATTTGAATTTTATTTTCCATGACTTGATCACTTTGTTTTCTCTTTCATATTTTTCTATACAGGTGTCCACTTAAATATCTGACCAAGGACAAAAGAGATTTTTCCAGCATTGCATGCATATATATGCATATGGTGCATGTTTGTTCCAACATTAAAATAACTAAAGGGAATCAATTTAAGATGATTTAGCATAACATACAAATAATCTCTGACTGAAAATAAAGATAATATTGCAGAAATTGATACAAAAATTGAGTTTTATTTTGTTAGAGAACATGTTCAGAACAACTGTCTTCAGCAGTAATAGAAAGATATAGATGTTGAGCATGGTATTATGGATAACAGTTAGCTATCTTTTTCTTCCTTCCTGAGTATGAGTCTGCAGCCCTAGCCTCTTGTTCTTCGAAGGAAATTAATTTTTTTGTATGCTGTCATTGCTCTGGTTTTGTCATCATTTCTTAGTTTGCCCAAAAAAATATACTTTGCCAAGCTTCATTTGGAATGTGGCAATCTACACATGTGATCCTAGGACTTTGAGATCTGAAAATTGAAGGCTCCAGGTTTTTGAGATGTGGTGGTACCAAATGACAAAAATACCTTGGACAAACAAATTAAAAAATCTAGAAACATCTTTCCTGGCTGTTATGAGATTTTGTTATAAAAAATTTTTTATATTATTAATTATTATAAAATGGCAGAAAGCTTAATTTTGAAGGTTGAGATGAGTTTTGTAAAAAAAAAAAAAATGTAAATGCTAATAACAAATAAAATCTTCATTAAGTCCAACTCTTCTTGAGATATGATATGACTGCCCCTCTATCTCTTCACCCCCTCAACCTTAACCACCAAAATTTAATAGCATTAATGCTCCTTATACATAAGTGACCATGCCAAATTTTGGTTTTTAATCTTTACCCTATCCTGAGATATTAAACAAAATAGATGCCAACACACACAAATCCATACATAATTGCAGAATTTTTCCCTTTTTCGACTTTTGTGGGGTTCAGGGTGTCTCAAAACATGCAGATTTGCAAAAAACTTGGAGGATCAAATTTGGTGCAATTCCAATACTTTCCCTTTATATGTGTACATAACAGAAAGAAAGAAAATGAGAATGTTGTCAAATTAATTAGTGAAAAATACAACATTCTAAAATATATTGAAAAAAGAAGAATCAATGTGATTAGCCATTTGATTTGACATTCTAATTGAATTAATACATTTCTGGAAAGATATATGGAAAAATACTAGAAAAGTTTATGGACACCATTAGGCAAGGAAGACCCTATTTCACTATTGAAAACCTGGTCCTGAAAAGACTAATGATTGACACAAACTTGCTGCTCACCAACTTTCAGATTGAGGAAGAAGATGCATATTGTAATTAGAAGTTGGTTTGTTTTCTGTTTACTAACTATATTAATTAAGTTATTAACAAAAAGATGGTATTTTTAATTAATTAATTGTGGTATTATTAATTAACACAAAGATTTACAGAAAAATGTTAGAGATGACAATGTTTTAAGCCACCAAAAATCATGATGAGGAAGTATTTTAATTTTGTGTAGAATTGATTTTATCTTTTATTGTTAATTTTTCTTAAAATCACATACAGCACT